ACGGTACTAAGCCGAGTGAGGCCCTGCAGTGGAAATGCGCCAAAAGTTGCCTCTTCTTCTTCTTCTTCTTCTTCTTCTTCTTCTTCTTCTTCTTCTTCTTCTACTAATCCCCTGATTTCTGCCGTATTTTCCAGCCCAGAAGAAGAAGGCGTCGCTGGCCAGTCTGGACCCGGACGCTCTGAACGTGGAGGTGGGGGATCAGGTTCTTGTTGCCGGGCAGAAAAACGGCATCGTTCGTTACTACGGGAAAACAGACTTCGCTCCAGGTCTGAATCTGAGCTTTATCGCACACTGGGAGATAGAGACACTGTTTAAGATAACAACATGTTTGTGCATGTATATTCAAACGAGTGAGTTTTAAATCCTCAATTATTGGACAAAAAGTCTCTTTCTTCAGTCCTGAGCAGCTTTTCCTCCCTCAGATCAGATCTCAGTTCCTCTCTGTCTCTCTGCAGGTTATTGGTTCGGTGTCGAGTTGGATCAGGCGACAGGAAAACACGACGGCTCGGTTTTTGGAGTTCGGTACTTCAGCTGCCTGCCGAAATACGGAGTGTTTGCTCCACCATCCCGCGTCCAGAGGTGAGACGCCACGAAATCCTAAAGTATAAGTTCACCCACGCTTCTATTTGCTAGCACTTCAAAGACATCAGCAGGAGAGGACTCTTTAAAGTAGAGACACTACATACTGATATACACCTGAACATCAGCAGGAGAGGACTCTTTAAAGTAGAGACACTACATACTGATATACACCTGAACATCAGCAGGAGAGGACTCTTTAAAGTAGAGACACTACATACTGATATACACCTGAACATCAGCAGGAGAGGACTCTTTAAAGTAGAGACACTACATACTGATATACACCTGAACATCAGCAGGAGAGGACTCTTTAAAGTAGAGACACTACATACTGATATACACCTGAACATCAGCAGGAGAGGACTCTTTAAAGTAGAGACACTACATACTGATATACACCTGAACATCAGCAGGAGAGGACTCTTTAAAATTCATTTGTTTGTTTGTTTGTTTGTTTCCTGTAGTGTCGCAGCCGAAGCGTAACTTCAACACGATGCGAAATCCTAAAGATCTGACCTCCGAGAACTCCATATCCAGGTACAATGGTCTGTTTGGTGTTTCAGCCAATCAGAGACAGGCTCTGGATATTTCTGAGACCTGTGATATAGTGATGAACAACAGTATAATAGGAGACCTTTAAATGTGCTATATAAATAAATAAAGATTGAGATTGATTTAGTTTCTTCTTCTTCTTCCTCTCGTTATCTCCCTCCTCTTCCTCCTCTTCCTCTTCCTCTTCAGGTTGCTGTTCTGCTGTTGGTTTCCGTGGATGCTTCGCACTGAGATGCAGTCCTAACAACTTCCTCCGGTCGATCTCTCCATCTTCTTTTTGCTCTCCTCACTGTCAATCCTCCTCGTAGTGAAACCCTCTTTTCTCTCAGCCCTCTAATTTAGCCGTTCTATAGCAAATCTATAGTGCCTTGTATCTGATCAAAACGTCCTTTGTTCCCCTCAAAGAAACTGAGCTAAAGCAACCCTAACATATTCTCTTTACACACCTTTTCATCCAGCCTCACGTCATCGTTGTGTCTTTATTTAAACATCAGTTTGTGCTGCTGCTCCATTTGGGTCTCTCGCTTAAAATTAGAAACCAATGCAGATGTGTAACGTCTCAGCTTACAAATATATGCATTAAAGGTGGGGTAGGTAATTCACTTCAGAAGCACTTTCTGTTATATTCCATGGAATGCTCTTAACATCCCGATAGCAATTAATAAATTAAATGCTTTGACAAAAAATACATAAAAATTCATCTGTGGAACCCGTGGCGCAGTAAAAAGCACGACCAATCATCTGCTTCGGCCCGGCTAAAGTAACTGGATGGCCTACCTGCCTGTCAGCCTTCCATCTGTGCACAAACTTATCTCGTGCCCTCATTGGTCATGTGCGCGTTCGTGTGTGTTGGAGGAGGGGCTCTGTAAGGAAGTGGCAGATTTTTTTCGTACTTTCAGATTCTCCGTTCTTACCTACCTTACCTTTGATGTTATATTTGCCAAACCAAAAGCCTGAGGAAGCTCGTTAGACACACGTTCAATTAGCCGATGAAATGGCTGTTTTCAGTGATTTCTGCCTTCGCTGCTGCTTCCTGGTCTGAGACTTAGAACTCAATCCTAAAAACGTAATAAGTGTGTGTGAAGTGACTCTCCTCACCTGCATGCTTTAATCTCAGATGTCAAACTGAAAACAGGGTTAATCAATTGCTGAATTTATCGTAGTGTTACAGTCAGTTATATTTGATTTGTATATCTTTTTTCCTTCATTAGTTGTTCTTGGTCTCTGTAAACACGCTGCTCTGTAATTATCGTGGATGCAGACATGTTGTTCTCAGCAAGTCAAATTTGATGTATCGTTCACGGCAAATTGGAAAACATCGTACTGTTTCCAGAAAGCATTTAGCTAATTCAGTTGAAGTACTGTTGGCCTGTAATTATAAATCAGTGTATTGTGCAATAGAAATGAGTCAATAGTTAGCGTTGAAATCTTAAGACGAGCTGCGATCATATTTTGTCGTTAACCAAAAGCTAACAAACCCAAACTTTCTTTGACGGAAATTTAAAATCCAAAGTGTTTTTCGCCCCGCTACATGTGATATTTATGTTTTTGTGCCATCACTCCCGCGTGTACAAAATAAGCTTCTTTAAAAACACCTGTATGAAGTTTAGTATTTGTTTAGTGTCCTTTCATCTCCATCCATGTCGGGGTTTCATTTCTAGAAATCTGAACCCTCGTTAAACTCTCTTCACGACATTTGAAAAAGTTTCCTCTCTGCTTCTATCCCTCTTTTCTCCTCCCTCTTTCCTCATTTATAAAAAAAAGACTTTGCTTCCTTTTGTGAACGTGAGCATCTGTGCAAAAAGTGAAAACACAAGTAAATCTCAGTGTGTTTGCTTCATGTTAAAATCTCTCTCGAAGTATGTGCATAACTGAAAACAGCAATATGTAAACAGTGTCTCTGTGGAAATGTGTTGATGTTAATCTCTACACTCTGTAAGCACACAAATACACGGAGATAATAAATAAAAAACACGCTCACATGCTCTGATTGCCAGGACTGCAAATAACAAATGTTTTCACGCTGTTAAAAAATAACCTAAAGATTGTTTTTTTGCATATTCAGACTTTTTTGTTGGAATTTTTCACAGTTTCTTGTAATAAAATACAGTTAACTTTAACACAAAACAAATAAAGCTAAAAGTGGACATCCAAAGGTAAATCTAAACCTATTGCATGTACAGGCAATATCCTGCGTTCACATTCTTCAATACATTTCTGCATTCTTCTAAAGTTTTTTGGGAAAACTAAATTGAATGATAACCAAAAAAATATCAATATTTTCCACATTTGAATTCAGATTTATTCTCCACTGTTTTCCATTTTCCTGAAACCGTCCTTAAAGTGTTTGAAAGATCGTTAAAGTCACTCTATACGCAGACGACTCGACGCTTTACCGTCCCAAATTCATCTCCTTTCCCCAATCCGAACCTGAACAAAAGAGCCCGAGGGACTGAATAATAATAACACCACGTTTTAGTGTTTTTATAATCTCACGGTAAGGGAGGTGTTTTGCTGAAGCTGCAGGTGAACATTATAGACGTCAGTGGACACAGTGATGGTCTTTGTACAGTTAACGTACCGTAAAGTCAATTTGTCTCCGTGCAGAACGTAGTGTTCTTGCTGCTGTGTAAACGGCCACTAAGTGTCACTATCAAGACACACAACATGTCACACACCTTTCCTCATTATAGCATAAAGGGATGTCACAAAAAACAATACTTAGTGGATGCAAAGAGGCCTATTATGGTGGCGTTAAACGTTCTGGTTATTCGTCATTATTACAGACAAGGTGGAAAATTGGCCTGGCTCTTGATTTTAGGATAAGTCATATCCAATTGCATTTAATACTGAATATATACAACTAGCTTTTTGACATACCTTCATTTCATCGAAAGTTTTTCGCTGATAATGCTACATTGTGAATGACAAATCTGCTATCTGCTGGTAACATTAGCTGTTAGCTGCTAAATGTTTTAGCTGTTAGTTGTTAGCTGTAAGCTGTTAACAGTAAGCTGTAAGCTGTAAGCTGTTAGCTGTAAGCAGTTAGCTGTTAGCTGTTAGCTGTTAGCTGTTGGCTGTTAGCTGTAAGCTGTTAACAGTAAGCTGTAAGGTGTTAGCTGTTAGCTGTTAGCTGTTGGCTGTTGGCTGTTGGCTGTTAGCTGTAAGCTGTTAACAGTAAGCTGTTGGCTGTTGGCTGTTAGCTGTAAGCAGTTAGCTGTTAGCTGTAAGCAGTTAGCTGTAAGGTGTTAGCTGTAAGCTGTTAGCTGTAAGCAGTTAGCTGTTAGCTGTTGGCTGTTGGCTGTTGGCTGTTAGCTGTTAGCTGTAAGCTGTAAACTGTTAACAGTACAACCCAGTCTCGCGGCATTTCGTGTTATAGTCACGACATTAATGTATTGATTCGTGTTCACCAACACGATTTCGCAATTTTTTTTGTGTCACACGGAAAGATTTTAAAAGCAATGTAAATAATAACAAATTAGAAGGAAAATCGGATAAAAAAAATACAGATTTCAGAATTCTGAGGTTCTGAGCCATTTATTTTCCTCGCGGACGGCAAAAAAACTCTGACATTATACTATTTAAATTAAAAAGGATAGGGTTAGGCTTGTAGAGACACTACATACTGATATACACCTGAACATCAGCAGGAGAGGACTCTTTAAAGTAGAGACACTACATACTGATATATACCAGAACATCAGCAGGAGAGGACTCTTTAAAGTAGAGACACTACATACTGATATACACCTGAACATCAGCAGGAGAGGACTCT